AGTTATTTAGGATGTTTTAAAGTTTGTTTTTATGTTCATAGTTTTTTTTTTTTTGTGCCCCAGATTACCCCAATTTCGGAACTCAAACGTCCATATTTTAATCTAATAGCCCAACTTTGGATCCTCAAGTTCCAAGTTTTTTTCTTTTTTTTTACTCAATCTTATTTCGGACCTTGCATGTCCGACGTTATTCCAAACCTCAATTTCACACCTTCGAAGTCCGAATTTATTCGAATGATGACTTTCTTCCTAAAATGACGATAAATTACTTTGGATTGGCTCAAAAACTCAACATCCTGAGTTTTTCTTTTTTAAATAATCATGTAGACCAACAGACCAAATGTTTTCTTACTAAAATCATGTGACATCTTAAAGATAGATACAAGTTGGTGTTCTATTTAAAAACAATGGAAACTATTGGTCCAAATGTTTTTTTACTAAAATTATTATTTATAGTTTTTAAATTTTATTTATTTTTTTAGAAACGGGGTCCATATTTTTTAATAAAATTATCATTTTTATTTTAAAAATTTGAGTTATTTTTATATATGGGAAAGTATAGAATGAGATCGTTTACCTTTAAGACAAAGTGGTCACATTAATATTGACTAATGGATGTTAAATAGGGTGGCTGCAATTATTCTATCGACCAAGCTCAAACTTCAAAAGAAGTTTTCTCAAACTTTGTGACACATCCAAGCTATCAAATTTCACATCAAATGGTTGTAAGGAATTGTGACCACCTTGTATCGGAGGTAAATAGTCTCATTGTATACAATCCATTTATATATGGAAAAAGTTTATGTAAAGATACAACCTTATAATGTAGAACCACGGATGCACATAAAAAATCTATCGGAAAAGGTAGTTTTAATATTGCCCTTTGATTGATCATCTCGACATCGAGATGTGTGACCATGAAAAATAAAATGATTTTAAGTCTTAAAAGCATTTTACAACATATTATCTACACATTCCATTTTCAAGATTTTTATATGTTTATAGATCTACTTGATTTTAACTTTTTTTGAAATTTAAAATTTTATAATTAGATATAAAAATAGATTTTGAGATAATCTTAAGAACATTTTACATCAAAATTATATACTATGATAAAATTTGAAGGTACAACTTACCTCTCTATAACTACGGATGTATCTATATACCAACTGCACCCTTTATATATTCGTGATCTTCATATTAGAGATCATATATTTTTAAAAAATTCAGGTCCAAAATCCATGTCAAACTTTTTGTTTTTTTATAAGAGGGGACTCACGTATGTCTATAAGAAACTTGAGTTTACTATTAACCCCATTTGGTGGTCTTTCAAACTGGCCGTAGTACAAAGGGAGGGACTGCACAAAGGCTAAAAGCTCGAACAAGAGAGAGAGCGGGCTACAAACGAGCTTGAGGGCCCGTTTGAAATGGGTTGTTTTGGGGATCTATGATAAAAAATCGTGTTTAAATGCCTCGTATAGGCGGAAATGTAATTTCCGCATCAAGATTGGAATCCTTTTTTTAGGCTAAATTTGTGAAAATCTCAATTGCACCGTAATTGACATTTTATAAGAAAAGGAGAAATTATGAAAACCCCTCTTGACACAATTTTCTTTACAACGTACTCCAATCAATTTTTTTCCCCCAACTTTTACCCTGAAACATACCCTTCCAGCAGATATAGCAAATAACAAAGTCACCGTTATTTTAACCAAAATGCGTACGCTTCCAACTGTCGTCCGACCATGGTCATTTTGTTCAGGCCGTTGGTTCGGCAATAGAAAAGGTGGTCCGGCAGGTACACCCGATCCGACAATTCCAACTGCCGACTTACTCTTTGCTAACATAGTATACCCGCCGTTAGGCACAAGGGGCCCTTGGTCTGACAAATATGGAATGGGGTTCGACAGTATTTTTACCTCGATCCGATACATGGGGTGCGAGATTGTTTTTACCTCGATCCGGTACAAGGTGATGTCGGACGGCACTTAACCCACACGGATGGGTTGTATGAGGGACTAATCTTTTGACATGGGTCCCTGTCCTTATGCTGTTTATTTGTGGTCCAGCATATTGTTCATTCGGCAACTCTACAATGGGTCCGGCGTAGCTTTTATTGTACCCATCGTTAGCAATTCCGCCGTTAATCACCGAATTTTTCAAACAATCAGGGATTTTTTTAAAAACGTTTTAAACACCGATTTTTTTTTAAAGTTCCCCAAAAAAACACGGTTTTATCATAAAACCGTTAAAAACGCGTTTTTTTACGAGGAACTAAAAAAACGGGGTTTTTTTTTTTACTTGCAATTTTTTAGAAAGAAAAACAATTATTTTCCTAATCTATCTAATTTTTAAAAGAACAAATTATTTTCACAAAAAAAAATCCGAAAATGAAAGGTATGATTTTTTTTTTTTTCTTTTTAACTTCAACATGATGCATATTTAAGTGGTTATTTTGCAAAAAAAAATACTGTGAGCAGCATGATTTCAATACCCTACACAAATTGTGTGCAGCAAGAAAATACTGTGTGCATCAAGAAAATATAGTGTGCAGCATGATTTTGCAAAGAAAAAAATGAGCAAAGAAAATTATTTGTCTTACAAACACCTTATCAGACTAAATGCTTCATTTGCCCTTTCGATTTAGCTGCTGAAACGCTTCCTTCGCCCTTTCGATTTAGGGTTTACCTTCTGGGTTTCTTCTTCCACTTCGTAGAGTTCGTCATTCGATTTAGGGTTTACCTTATTTGAAAAACAGGGGAGATAAGAGAGAGAGAGAGAGAGAGAGAGAGAGAGAGAGAGAGAGAGAGAGAGAGAGAGAGAGAGAGAGAGAGAGAGAGAGAGAGAGAGAGAGAGTAGTAGTAGTAGTAGTAGTAGTACGTAGTACGTAGTAGTAGTACGTAGTACGTACGTAGTACGTAGTACGTAGTACGTAGTAACGTACGTAGTACGTAGTAGTAGTA